GTTACATAGTCTTACATCCAGTTAGGTTTCTTTCTGGGATGTTGATGAGGCTCTTCTGTAGGGTCAATCTGAATGGTGTGTTTGCTAGAGGTTTGAATTTGCTGAGGAAATGATGGGTCTGTGTCTTTATCATCAAAACTAACTTGTATAGGTTGCTGCCTAGAAGCATCATCACTCCAATTCCAAGTGTTTCCCTCGTCAAAAACAACGTCCCTACTAATTACAATCTTTTTAGTAATTGGATTGTAAAGCTTGTAAGCTTTTGAAACTTCACTTATTCCCAAGAACACACTTTTCACTTCTGTCATCCAGTTTCTTCCTTTTCTGATTAGGAACATGTGCATATGCGATGCACCCAAAGATTTGAAGTGGTCAACAGATGGCTTTCTCCCACTCCATGCTTGTTCTGGTGTCATGTTGAGGACAGAAAAAGTAGGGCTCCTATTTAGTAAATGAACACTCTAATTAACTGCTTCAGGCCAGAAGGTTTTCGGGATCCTTCCTTTGGTGATCATGCTATGAACCATGTTGAGAATGGTTCTATTCTTCCTCTCAGAGACTCCATTCTATTGAGGTGAATAGGCTACAGTAAGCTCCTTTCGAATGCCTTGGTTGTCACAGAAGGCATTGAACTCCTTGGAGCAATATTCTCCACCTCGGTTGGTCCTTAGAGTTTTTATGGATCTCCTTGTCTCATTCTCCACCTGTGCCTTGAAGCTTTTGAATATTCCAAAAACTTTTGATTTTTCCTGCAAGAAATAAACCCAAGTTTTCCGAGAATAATCATCGGTGAAGGTAATGAAATAACGGTTACCACCGTTGGAAGTTGGAGTGATAGGGCCACAGATGTCAGAATGGATCAGCTCAAGCACTTTCTTGGCTCTCCATGATTTTTCTTGAGGGAACTGAGAGTGAGGTTGTTTGCCAACAACACAGTCCTCACAAACTTGTGAAGGAGCTATAATCTGAGGAAGACCTTTAACCATATTCTTCTGTTGGAGAGTCCTTAATCCTCCAAAGTTCAGGTGCCCATATCGGTAATGCCAAAGCCAAGATGGATTCTTGATTTTTGTCAGAAAACAGGAAGGAGCATGTTGAAGTTTTAAGGGGAATAACCTATTTGTGCTCATCTTGATGGCAGCAATGGCTCCTCTTTTAGGATCATATATCTTGCATGATTCTTTTTGGATGGTTATTACATAACCCTTCTCTTGCAGTTGTCCAACGCTCAACAAGTTACTTTTCAGGTCTGGCACATAGAAGACGTTGGAGATGGTTTTTACAAAACTATTCTTGGTGCAAATGTTAATATCACCTTTTCGAGTACCTCAACTGCAGACCTATCACCAAAGCGAATAGTTGATTGAAAATTTTCACTTAGATTTGAGAAAAGTGACTTACTTCCGCACATGTGATTGCTGCATCCCATGTCTACATACCATACATTTGATTCGGATGGATTTATGTCGTGGATGGCCATCAGAATGGTTTCAGCATCATGCTGCTGTTCCTGTTGTTCTGCAAAGTTTATTTTCTCCCCTCTTCCTTTATTCGGCATTTTGGTGTAGCAATCATAATAACTGTACTGGCCGAATTTGTGACACCTATAACATTTGACCTTGGATTTGTTATGCTGTCCTTTCTCTCTGCCTTGGTTATTGTTGGCTTTTGAATGCTGTTCTCGTTGTTTGTCTCCGTCTCTGAAACTCTGTCCTTCTCTTCCTTTACCTCTACCTCTTCCTCTTCCTCGACCTCTTCCTCTAGAGTTTGAAGATCGGGAAGGAGTATAGGCTTTAAGGGCTTGTTCCTCCTTAGTTGAACTTCGAGTCAACTTTTGCTCGTGTACCAGAAGGGAGCTTTGGAGTTTATCAACTGAGAGTAAATCAAGATCTTTAGATTCCTCAATGGAGCAAACAACAAAATCATACTTCGGTGTTAGCAGCGCAAGATCTTTTCAATAATGGTGACATCTTCCATCTTCTCTCCTTGAAACTGCATCTTGTTGACAATCTCCATGGTTCAGGAAAAATAGCTCGTGATAGACTCATCGTCTTTCATCTCGAGAATCTCGAAGTCTCGTCTCAAGGCTTGAAGCTGTGCACGCTTCACTCTTGATGAGCCTTGATATTTCTTTTTCATGGAGTCCTATATGTCCTTTGAAATCTCCTTGTTAAGAATACTCTCCAAGACTGTTCGGTTTATTGCCTGGAAGAGATAGTTTTTGGCCTTCAGGTCTTTCAGCTTTAAACTCTCTAATTCTGTCCTTTTGACGACTGTCAACATTGTTGGTGTTGATGGTTCTGCTCTGCCTTCGGCTTTGGATGAAGGTTCTGTAATACCTTTACTAACCACCTGCTAGTATTCTTTGGATCTCAAGAAATTCTCCATCAACATGCTCCAGTGGTCATAATGTCCATCAAACCGTGGAATGGTGGGTTGTATGAAGCTATCGGATGCCATTTGAAGCTCTTTTTATCTTTCATCAAATGTTTTGATTGATCGGTTCACTTTTGGGCTTTTTGGATAGTTTGGTTCAAATCTGGCAATTTAAATTTGGTCAGTTCGGTTCAGCTGGTTCAAGTGATCTGGTTCAGATGGACAGATTCTGGTTGGTTCGGTTCAAGTGGACCGGGTCGGGTCAACCCGGTTTAGTGGGTCGGGTCAGACTGGGTCGGGTCTATTGCAGATTAGATCAGCTTTGATCTACTTCGTATCTGCAACAATTTGGATGGACTTTGCTTCTGTTCTAGATCTACTTCGGATCTGCAACAATCGGATGGACAACTTCGGGTCAGAGAATCTACAACTGCTTCGGGTTTGAAACTGCTTCGGATCAGACTTGCTCTGCTGCAATCAGATGGATTTGCTCCTGTTCTGGATCTGCTTCAGATATGCAACTATCGGATGAGTTTCAGATTCTGTTGCTTTTCTTCAGATTTGGATCGGCTATTTTCTGCTTTGGATCGGTTGGATGGATCTGCTTCGGATTGAACCTCTTCAGATCAGATCTTCTAGTGTTTGAACAGTTGGCTTTTGTGGATTTGGGTTGCTTCTTGGGTTTTCTGCCTGGATTCGGTTTCTGCTACAGATGGATGTTTAGATAGGGCCCTGTTCCGTCGGACTGGTTTATCTTCTCCGGCGTTGGATCTACTTCTGCAATAGTCGGTAGGAACTGCTTTGGGTCTGTCAGATTCTGCAATGGTTGGACGGATCTGCTTCAGTTGGACGGGTTTGCAAGGGGTTGGATGGATCTGCAACAGGTAGGAACTGCTTCGGGTTTGTTGGATTCTGCAACGGTTGGACGGATCTGCTTCAGTTGGACAGGTCTGCAACAGGTTGGACGGATTTGCTTTGGGAGGAACTGCTTTGGGTTCGGCCAGATCTGCAATCAATTGGACGGAATTGCTTCGGGTTCGGACGGATTCGCAACAGGTTGGATAGATCTGCTACAACAGGACGGATCCTGTTCGGGTGACTGGATCTACAATGTCGGGATTGCTCCAAGGAAGAAGATGACCAAATTGTAGTTTGGTCCTTCGAGGATTCTGTATCGCGGTTCAGTCCTTCAACTCTCCAGATTCTCACTCTGTACATTGAACTTATTTAAGTTCAGGTCCCTGGTTTTTATACTATCTTCACCTAAGCCCCTCTGTGGAATGGACTTGGTATAAAACCCTCAATCTCTCAATTTCTTCACTTAGGTCCTTACTGCAGAAGAATCCTAGGAAGATGGCTCTGATACCACTGATGAAAAATAAACACTCAAACTTATTCCATTCATTGAATGATTTAAAAGGGTCCTATTTATAAGAAAACTAATCCTAGTTCTAATAGGAATTATAATCCTAGTAAAACTCTAATACCTCTAAAGATAATTACATAAAAATTAAATCCTAATCTAAGATAATTACAAGGAATTATTTTAACACCGACGAATTTTTTTCCGTCACTAAATTCGTCGCTAAATGCATTTAGCGATAGATTTTATTGGTTAGTGATGAAAATTTTCTATCGCTGAAAGACTAATTTCTTGTAGTGAATTAGGTTCTCTATTCAATAAAAAAATTAATTTGTAACCTCATATGTTAAACATTTAAAATCTTGTGACTAAACGAGCTGCAACGGAAGTTTTGAGGACTAAAATGGAATTCAATATATAAGTTACAGCCTAAATTAAATTTGCCCTAAATAATTCATTCAAACTATAAATGAAAGGTGGTGTCAAATTCAAGCCAAACTCGTTTCTTATTGTATTGGGACCAAGGTTATTAAAAAGGAGTTTTTATTTAAAAGTGTTTAGATTTTGTAAAAACGAAACGTAAAAATCAAGCATAAAAGTAAATATTTTACTTAATACGTAATATATATACATATATATATGTGTGTATACACATATGTATATATAAAACATAGATATAACTGACATAACATAAATTATAAATAATAATAATAATTTAAATTAAAAAAATCAAATCATAAATATTCAAATATAAATTGACATGAGTATAATATGAATAAGAAACAATAGGGAATTAAATTAAAACAACCAAGATCACTTGCACAAAATAGAGATTAGAATAGTTTATTAGATGAAAGCGGCTAGTAAAACGACAAATTATAAATTTAAGACAAAAATATGAAAACAACTAATAAAAGTGTAATTTTACAATTTTTACCATTTTTAAAATGAATTTTTACAAGATTTTACTCAAAGATAATTTCAGATATAATCAAAAAATATTTAATATGAGTAAAAATATAAAATATATGTTTTTTGACTTTGAAGTTTACTTTTTATAATCATGATTAGGACCATGTCCATGTAAGTATCATTTGCCTGAAATTAACACCATCTTAAACTATTTCTTCCGGCCTGACTAAATCTCCATCCCAAGGGACCCCAGCCACGTTGGTTGCCATGTAATGGATGGCAAGGCATGTGAAGGAGGTGGTAGCGATCTCCACCATGCACCCCCTAAAGACCTTGTGGGTGGTCATCCTCAATTAACGACGTCGTGTGGATCATCTCCATGGCACACACAGTGGCCATCGCGTTTGACTCGTGATAGCCAATGAGCTCGCAGGCGGCAATGCAGAGCGGCTTCCGAATGCTTGCCGGTAGCGAGAAGAGAGTATCTCATGGCCTCATGGAGCTTCTTGGGCTCTCTGAGTGGAATCGCTAGATCTAGAGCTTGGTCTACTGCATTAGCTTTCTCAACCATGTAGGATTCAAATATTGGATAGATTGCTTGGAGTCCTCTGTAAAAGCAATGTTGTTGGATTTAATACTGAAGATTTTAAATCAACTAGCATACCTCCAGCCATTGATATTTTGTAGAAGAATTGAAGCTGTATGTCGTAGAGCCTTCCAGTCCACACCAGTCAAACCGTTGATGGAATGGGTATCTGTTTTGACCTTATAGGCCAGGGACTCCAAAGACGTCAGTTTATAGAAATTTTCACTCCTTCAGAGAAAACCCCTCACTATCTCAAAAATATCCTCACACTATCTCTAATCTAACTGTTCACTATCTCAAACGTGGATAGTGCTTTTAAGAGATAGAAAACCCCTTTGACTTGGTCAAAGGGGTTGAGAAAAATGTGGACCATATTGATTTTATTTTAAAAAATGTTTTCATTTTATTTATTTGAAAATAAATCTAAAATTCTCCCACTTGGTCTATCATTTTTCTCATACCTTATGATATTCATCATTAAGATGACTATATGCTTATATCTAAGAGAACCAATTACATGAATCATAGCGGTAGATCCTCCATAAGTGAGTATTACCTTCCATGTATTACAATGCAATTTTTCTCTCAGCAAAAAGCTCATTCAACTAGATGAATAAGATCAATACTTATTCTGAGTCCAAGACAAAATCATGTCATTGTCAAAAACCAGAATGTATACATCAAGATGAGAAGATAACAGAAATCAGAGTTTCATTACAATTAGAAGAACTTTTACATAACTGAAACAAGTCCCATACACATTACATGGTCCTTAAACAATCTTGGTGGCATGCCTTTTGTCAAAGGACCTGTAATCATCAACTCAATGCTAATGTGTTCAATGATAATCTCATTTGCTTTAACACGTTCCCTCATGGCTAAATACTTAATGTCGATATGCTTGCTTCAACTTCCACTTTTGTTATTTTTAGCTAGAGAAATAGTAGCTGAATTGTCATAATATATCTTTAATGGTCTAGAAATAGAATCGACCATTCTCAGTCCTGTAATGAAACTCTTTAACTAGATACCCTATGACGTAGCCTCAAAACACGAAATGAACTCAGCTTTCATAGTAAAAGTAGCAATTAATGTTTGTTTTGCACTTCTCCAAGATATAGCTCCATTAGCCAACATGAAAATATATCCCGATATTGACTTACGATAATCAATACAACCAGAAAAATCTGAGTCTGAATACCCAACAACTTCCAAAATGTCGGATCTTCTGTAAATGAGCATATAGTTTTTGGTCTATTGAAGGTACCTCATTACTTTCTTTGCAGCTCTCTAATGATCCAAGCCTGGATTACTTTGATATCTTCCAAGCATTCCAACTACGTATGCTATGTGAGGTCTTGTACAAACCTAAGCATACATGAAGCTTCTAACAGCAGAAGCATATGGAATGTTCTTCATGTGTTCCCTTTCAAGTTCGTTCTTAGGGCATTGGTTCAGGTTGAACCTATCACCCTTTACTATAGGAGCTACACTTGGTGAACAATCTTTCATCCAAAATCTTTTAAGAACTTTGTTGATATAGGCTTCCTAAGACAGACCGAGGACACCTTGATGTCTATTTCTATGAATCTTAATGCCAATGACATAAGAAGCTTCACTCATATCTTTCATATCAAAATTCTTGAAGAGAAATTGTTTCACTTCATGCAATATTTCCAAGTCATTAGTGGCAAGAAGAATATCATCCACATACAAAACTAGAAAAATTATTTTACTCCCACTAACCTTGTGGTAAATGCATTGATTCATAATGTTCTTAACAAAATCGAAAGAAGAGATTACAGTATGGAATTTCAAATACCATTGTCGGGAGGCCTGTTTTAGCTTGTATATGGATTTCTTTAGTCTACAGAGTAAATGAGCACCATTACTAGAGGAAAAACCTTCTAGTTGTGTCATGTAAACATCTTCTTCTAGATTCCCATTAAGAAAAGCTTCCTTCACATCTATCTGATGCAATTCTAGGTTAAAATGGACAACCAATGCCATTATGATTCGAAAAAAGTCTTTCTTAGATACAGGAGAAAAGGTCTCTCTATAATCAACTTTCTCTTTCTGAGTGAATTCCTTGGCAACTAATCGGGCCTTGTATCGCTCAATGTTGCCTAAAGAGTCTTTCTTAGTTTTAAAGACCCATTTACAGCCAACAGGCTTTACTCCATCAAACAACTCTACAAGATCCCAAACTCCATTATCAGCCATGGAATCCAATTCTTCTTTCATAGTATTATGCCACAATTCAGAATTGCTACTATTAACAGCTTGTGAAAACGTTTCTAGATCATTCTCAATTCCTATGTCACATTCAGACTCTTACAGATACACATGATAATCATTAGGTATTGCAAATTTTCGCACTCTAGTTGATCTTCTCAATGTTGTTTCTTCAACTTCTTGAGAAAGTTGATTTTCAACAGGTTGCTTAACTGTTTGTGCTGGATGTTGTTCAACCGAATCAACTAAAGTAGCTTCAGTTTGACATGGAATCCCAGTTAGTGGTAATCTTTCTGGATTTTGGTAAGAATCACCAAAAGTTACCACTTGATAACTTGATGTAGGAGTTGGTTCAATTCTTTCATCCTCCTCAAGATTTAATTCTTGTGAAACTTTCCTCCCACTAACCATGTCATTTTCAAGAAATTTTGCATTTCTTGATTCCACAATTCTAGTGCTATGATGTGGACAATAGAACCTATAACCCTTAGACTTTTCAGCATAACCAATAAAGTATGCACTAATAGTCCTTGGGTCCAACTTCCTCTCTTATGAATTCTAAATTCTCACTTCAGCTAGGCAACCCCAGACACGCATATGTCTTAAACTTGGTTTCCAACCTTTCCAAAATCAAAAAGAATTTTGGAAACTGCTTTAGTTGGAACTCAATTCAGTATATACACTGCAGTCTTAAGGGCTTCGCTCCATAACAAATGAGGAAGTTCGAAGTTGCTAAGCATACTCCTTACCATGTCCATTAAGGTTCGGTTTCTTGTTTCAGCCACACCATTTTGATCTGGCTAGCCAGGCATAGTGTATTGGGCCACAATACTATACTCTTAAAGAAACTTTGCAAATGGCCCAAGTGATTGTCCACCTTTAGTGTATCGCCCATAAAATTCTCCATCTCTATCTGATCTCACAATCTTAATTTGTTTTCCACATTGTTTATCTACTTCTGCCTTAAAAACTTTAAGGTTATCTAAAGCTTCATATTTGTTATGAAGTAAGTAGAGATACATAAATCTTGAGTAATCATCTATAAAAGAGATGAAGTATCTTTGCCCATATCAGTCCATTTCTGGAAAACAAATGTCTGTATGTATGATTTCCAATATTTCTGAACTCCTCTTGGCATTTTTCTTTGACTTATTAGTCTGCTTTCCTTTAATGTAGTCTATACAAGTGTCAAAGTCAGTAAAGTCAAGAGTCTTAAGTACTCCATCATTTAGTAATCTTTTAATTCTTTCAACGGAGATATGTTCTAATCTCCTATGCCACAATGTTGAGGATTTTTCATTTATATCACAATGCTTAATACCAATAAAATCATGCATAACAATTAGGTTGTGGGAAATTGTATTGGCCAGATTGATTTTAAACAAACCATCATTCAACACACCATTTCCAATCACAGCAGACTTTAATAACAAATCAAAATTGGATGCATTGAAATTTATTACAAAACCCAAACAAACTAGTCTTGAAATAGAAATTAAATTTCTAGAAAAACTAGGAATATAAAAAGTGTTTTGCAAATCTAAAACAAATCCAGAATTTAAAACAAGTCTGCAAGTGCCAACTGATTCCACATGTGAGCACATCCGGTTGCCAGAGTAGATGTACTGCTCACTTTCCTTCGGCTTCCTTTGACTTATGAAGCCTTGCATGGTATTAAAAATATGGATTGTAGAACCGGAGTTAATCCACCAAGTGTTATGACATATACAAACTATGTTGGATTCATACATACAAAGGAGAATGAAATACCTTTCTTCTCTAGCCAAGCTTTGTACTTGACGCAGTCTTTTTTCATGTATCCCTTCTTCTTACAGAAGAAACACCTAGACTCCTTCTTAATCTTGGCAATAGGGGGTATGCCATTTCTTTTTTTCTCCTTGATCCTTTTATTTCCTTGACTTTGAGTGTGAGTCATTGTAAGTACACTTTTGCCCAACTCTTGAACCAACCTCCCCTCTTCTTGAACACACATGGTCAAAGTTCATTAATAGACCACTCATCCTTATGTGTGTTGTAAGATATTTTAAAAAGACCATATTGAGGTGGAAGTGAGTTCAGGATAAGATGCATGAGGAAAGAATCAGAAATGTCAATTTCAAGAGACTTAAGCTGAGCAGCTATGTCTCTCATTTCCATTATGTGATTTCTCACACCTTTGACTTGAGTTAGCTTCATGGATGACAATTTTGCCAAAAAAGTGCTTGCCAATGCCTTATTAGCAGTTTCAAACTGCTCATCGATAGCCTTCATGAAATCCCTGACATTGTTGCAATCCGGGATTGAACCACGTATGCTAGTGGAGATGTGTGTCTTGATGTACATTATGGAAAGACGATTAGATCTTTCCCAATGCTCGTATATCGCAATCTCTTCTGGAGTACTAGCACTAGTAGGCACAATTGGTTCATCCTTACGAATGGTATAATCAATGTCCATGCACCCCAAATGTAAAAGGATTAATTCCTTTCAAGTCTTATAATTGTCACCAGTCAAAAGGGGAACATCAACCTTTTCATCAGAAATAATATGAACTACAATATAAATGAACATGCTCATATCACAAGTTTCGAGGCAAATACATAATCTCTAATGTTAAACATATACATAAATCAATGTGTCATTAAAATCTACCTGTGGGTTAAGATTTTAACACAAAATAGATTCGTATAATACTTTATAATGAAACTAATAAATTACTCATCTCTTAGTGCTTGTGGGTAACCTAAGAA